CCGGAACCTTTGCCTGAAAGCCTCGGGTGACAACTTAGAACGTCTCAAAGAGCACTTCCTTAACCTCGTCATAGCTCTCAAACGCTTCCCTCGACAAGCAAGTTATCGCGTCGGACACTTCACCGGGAAGAAGAGCTAACAGGTTCTGCGCCCAAAGGGACCGCTCCAAAGCATTTCGCTCACAGACGTGTTCAAACTTGACGAGATACTTCGCCATGTCCTCGCCTACTACGAACGGTGGCAATTGGTCGCGAATTCTCTGACCGCTGACCTGAACTGTCGTAGAAGCTACGCTAGGCGCCTGCGAACACTGTAGAATTGCCAATTCTATTCGTTTCAACTCGAGGCGCTCCTGCCTCTCAGCCTCCTCACGGCGTTCTCGCCTTTCAGCTTCTTCACGTTCGCGAGCTTCTCGCCTTTCAGCTTCTTCATGTTCGCGAGCTTCTCGCCTTTCAGCTTCTTCACGTTCGCGAGCTTCTACTTCTCGCCTTTCAGCCTCTTCGCGGCGTGCATTGATATCCACCCAGGCCTCATCGACTTCCTCAGCCGACACTCCCTCATCCTTCATGATCTCAAGGATCGCTTGCTTTCGTTTCGCACGGCCCGAAGTAATGCCGAGTTCCTCACAAATTTCGATGAGTTCCTTCACTTTTCCGTCGTTCACACTAGCCTCTTGCTGTTTGCCCCTGTTAACAATTTACTTGCCGTACCCACTATAAGTCAACTGGCAAGACGCGCAAGCAATTTTTCACACTCCCGTGTTTACCCCCTCCGCATTAACTTTGGTTTCAAAGCACTTCGACTTTGCTTGAAACGATCCAAGCTCACTTCAATGCTTCACACAGCCCTTCACCGCACTCACCGCATCGATGTCGCTGACGCCGGCCGATGCCGCAGCTGCCAACCACTGTTGCGAAGCACACCTCCGACGAAGTTACGAAGGGCGCCTCGAAATCTCACCGCTGCAACCACTGTTTCGAAAGACGGCGACGCCAACACAGTCCCGAAGGCGCCACTGCTTCGAACTCCGCCGGGAAGGTCACCAGCCGTTTGGTAGCGTAGGTTTGTCAGCTAGCGACTGCTTCTGCGCAGAGCTGATAGATGAGCGGACGAGACGACGGTGAGTTAAACAAGGTTTATGTACAGCATATATACAGAGGCGTTACAAATTCGGCACTGGGGCCGACAGAGATGCGAAGAGCCGAGCTCTTCTCTCAAATGGGTCTGCTGTCAAAGGGGTTTGCTAACACATAGCTTAACTCTCTATCACATAGCTCTCTTCTCTGACACACAGCTCAACTCTCTAACACATAGCTCTCTTCTCTGACACACAGCTCAACTGCGACACACATGTCGGCTCTCCAACACGTCTGCTCTGACACACATGTCTGCTCTCCAACAGGTCTGCTGCTCGCGACGCGCCGCAGGGCTTCTTTTATATGCACCGGGTCCAACCCAAATGTCCAACCAGAAACGCCGCTGGTCTTGAGGCCAGAATCCTCCAATGGGGTCGCCGCTGGGCCGCGTCATTCTTTCTCATCGAATCTGGAGAGGCTGCGCTGTAGGTGGCTGCACCCAAGGATGAGCGACGTCGCAAGCATTGCGTCAGACCCGCCAGACATGAAGACGCCGGTTGTTTACTCGAGGGGCTCGCGGGCTAAGGTGACTCACTGCACGTGCGCGCCAGAAAGGCGCCGTCGCGTGATGACGCCATCGAGTTGTTGATCGCGTCAGGCAGGCTCGCGTGCTGGCCTTGACACAGATTGCCTTTTTCAGAGGCACGGACGTTCGCTGTGGACTCGCAGGCATAACAGTATTGGCGCCATGCCTGTGGCATGTAGTATATATATATATATATATATATATATATATATATATATATATATATATATATATATATATCTATATATATATATATATAGGGACCTAATACGTTGATTTGCTGATCTTTTTCCAGTGGTGCCGAAAACGTGCTTTTTTATTGGTTGCAAATCCTGAGTTCCGTCACGCGTTGCAGCTTTCGATGGCTGCGGCACTGGCTGCGGCAGGGGCTGCGGCGTTGTAAGCAAATATTTTGGCGCGGGCAAGTGTACTGATATCTGGCTACAGAATGTGCACTGGTCACACGCACAGCGCATTTCTTCATCGTGGGCTTGTGTGCGATCAAACATTTCTGATATCGCGATCTGATGCGTTATGAGGGGACTTGTATCCCGTTGCTATACTCTAATGTTGATGGGATGCGAATCCATAGCTGAGGTCACTGTCGGTAATAACTGCAGTGTTGCGTTGGTAAACACGTAGACGAGGGGTGGAAACCCGGCATGTAGGAAGAAAACTTGAAGGTGGAGCATAGCGCAATGTGGCACAGACAAATTATAAAATAAAGAGAGAATTAGGGGTCGTGTATCCATTTGGATTGCTTAATTCACAATTTCTGTAGTCGACAAAAAGGTAGGTCGAAAAAATATGGCAGCATATCCACGGAGTGAATGATGGAGAGTGGGGCGAAGCATTCGTCCGTCCGTGCGTCCGTCTGTGTGACCGTCCATGCGTCTGTTCGTGCGCCCGTTCCTGCGTTCGTTCATGCATCCGCCCCTGCGTCCGTTCTTGCGTCCATCCATGCATCTGTCTGTGTGTCCGTTCGTCCATCTATTCAACACTCGGAGTCCCACCATCTCACATCTTTTTATTATATATTTCCCATATAGAAGCACCGCCATTCAATAGACATTCCAAGGACTAAACGAGAGGTGGCACACGCACACTTTCTTACGGCTTGCGCTTCGGGTCTACTTCCCACCTTCAACCACCTTGAGTTCATGGTATATACTAGTTCACTGTTTTCATGGCACTGCTGCCCAATGCTCGCTAAACCTTTCTAAAACAAAGGTTACGCCCAGGGAGTATAACGTAGCAACCTTTTCCTGTCAGATAGTGCTCAATGTACATGCCAGTGGCTGCTAATGTGAAATGAGAGACAGGAGGATTCAGCTTTTAATTTTTTACGACTTGCGCTTCGTATGTGCTTCCCCCCTTTAACCACCTCGAAATAATTCATGGTATATACTTGTTCATTGTATTCATGGCCCTGCGGCTCAACGCTCGCCAAACCTTTCTAAAACTAAGGAGGTTGCACCGAGCGAGTATAATGTAGCAACCCTTTCTCTTCCGATAGTGCTCAATGTACATGCCAATGGCTGCTAATGGGGATCGCAGCGTGCGCGTTGACAAAAAGCCGAATGCTCCTGTCTCTCATTCTCTATAGCAGCCATTGGCATGTACATTGAGCACTATTTTTTATTGTAAAACAACGCACAGAAGAAATCTCTCACTGGCACCACCTTGGAGGTCAAATGTTATACCTATTTCGAGTATGTGCCACTGGTGGTTACGTACTACGAGGGACGCCCAAGCCACGCCATAAGGAGCTTCGCCTCTAAAAAGATAGTCTTTCACCAGACCTAATTCGTGTAATATGGTGCATATTCAGGAGAACTCTAGGAAGTAGAGCAGCGCCTTTAGAACTACGTATGCATTTTCTAGTATAGGAACGCACCCTGTGGTGGGAAAACTGCCGGACGCCCAATGATCCCCCACTGGCATGGCTTTGCTATGTTGGCTGGCGGCAAACTGTTCATGGGCGTTGCTGGCCCTGAACCATTATGGTTTGAGTATTCTGAAAAAAAAAAACAGAAACAAAGCCCCACCGAAAGGCAGAGGCACCAAGTCTACTCACTAACATCAGCACTTAAGTATTGATGTTGTGGCTCAGATATGCGTAATAATTGCTTTTCGATCAACAAGGTCACAAGGATGAACGCAGCCACCATTTCAAGATGGGGGGGAGTTCAGCAGGTGCCAAAATTTTGACCGGGCGGCTGAATCATTTGTCAGACGGACAAAGGGGGAGACAGAACGAAATTTCTGAATTCAAGTTTGGCAAAAAAGACTGCGTGTTAAAACAACGCCAAAGAGCAGTGCAAAAAAAAAAGACAGAGACCACGGTGCCGCTGTCTGCGTCTCTTTCTTGTGCCATATTTCAGCGTCGTTTTTTGCCTAAAAAGAAATTAGTATACGTCAGCCACACATGCGCCAAGCATGGCTCTATCTCATTTTACAAGTAGAGCAAACATGACTGAACTTTTTACAGTGTCCCCCTATTATCTGGCTTGCGACAAAAATGTAGAAGATGTCTTACGAAAAGACCCACGTGGTCGCTCTTATTGTCTGGTTTTCCTCATTGAGTGGCTCACTGTTGTTTACGTCACAGAACAAACGCTGCCTTTTGTCGACTTCAGGTTTTTGTAAGGAAATATGGTTAGACTTCGCGTTCCAAATGGTTGTTTCTTAATATGTGAGAGCATCAAATGTTTATAGCGCTTAAGAATTTATTTTAAATAAAACCAGATAATGAAGCCGAGAAAATTATAGGCAACTTTGATTGGCGTGATTTAGGTTTGTTGTAGTAATCGTGGTTTAGAGGTGAAGACAGCTTGCCACCAGCTGGCACCAGGCGTGCAACCTTTGGATTACGAGCCCGATGCACTTATACCAATTGAGATACCGGGGCAGTCTTTTCATCGTGCGCTTTGGGGAGTGGGGGATACTAACGTGCATAGAAAAGCCTGGAAGCGTCAGTCTGACAATATCTAGACCAGGACGGGGAATGTGGAACACTATTTCTGACAGCTGGCACCACGTCACGTGATCTTTTTATGAGCAGATACCGGACCAATAAGCCCTCGCACAATGCTTGAAGGCATCAAGCATGCCGGAACGAAAATTCACTGTGAATGCTGTGAATGCTGTTTGTTTTATACCCTATAAAAATTGAGGGTCTTTTTTTCGACTCAACGTTGACAAAAGCAGCAGATAATGAAGGCAAAAAAAGTGTGGAGAACGCTCACATTTCAGCCACAGTAGTGCCTGGGCGGATCAGAGGCCTTTAAAAGAAGACGTAAAAAATATCCACGACTTTGTGTAGATGATGAGCTTTAATAAGTGATATAATACAATTATCCCAAGCACTTGGCAGTATCTGTGTCCTGTAGCGAGATGTAAAGGGCTCATTCTAGCTGTATTCCAGCGCTGAGAGCCATGCTGCGAAACGTGGAGCGTTGATCAGCCAAGAGGTCATAAACATGCCCGTACTCCAGAACTCGGCCATCTTCCATGACGACGACTCTGTGAATAGATTGTGAAATTGTTATTTTTCTGCTACCAATACGTTAAGCGCAAGAAAGCTGATCTCAGATGTCCGTTTTTCAGCACTTCCGAAGCGAAGCACCCACCCACTGCAAGGTGTGGTGCTGAAGGTCAAGAGTACGGGCTTCATTCCTGGACATGCCGTCTACGTTTTCAAAGAGAAATTCAATAAGCAATCAAATTAATTATATTTTGCTGACCATCAACTATAACCAGAGCAAGTCCAATCTATTTATTCATCAGTCTCCACTCCGCCATGCCAGTGTGTATCATAATCATGTAGTGGTTACCTGCAACTGTGAACAAGGCTCCCGTGTTGGGAGCCGAAACGTGTTTTTAATTTTGTGTATTTTACCTTGGCCAGAGTTTTTCTTATTTTGATTTCATTTATATGTGTGGTTTAATGTCTCAAAACCACCGTATGATTATGAGAGACGCCATAGGGGGGGGGGGTAGGCTCCGGAAATGTTGACCACCTGGGGTTCTTTAACGTGCACCCAAATCAGAGCACGCGGGCCTTCATAGAGAATGCAGCCGCCGCCGGGATAGCATCCTGCGACCTGCGGGTCAGCAGCTGAGTACCTTAGCCACAAGACTATTGCGGTGGGGCGTTTTTGCTATTTTGCATCGTGTAGTGGTTGCGGCATTACAAACACCAGGAAAGTTTTATTAGCAATAATATTCAGAGGCATTTTTTCCTGTCAATGAAAACAGCCCAAGTTCTATGCGATTAAATACTAAGTATAATATACGGGGCGTACACGGTGCAGCGTTCGAACGCGTACCATTTCTGTGAATTTTTTTGCCGACGAGTATCAACCAAGCCCGCCTTGCTTCACTTTTTTGAGCTGTGCGCCGTATTCCGAAAGATTTCTCGTAAACGCTCGTGTGCCACCGTGTGGCGCAATCGGGCTATTCATCTAGCTCTTAACTTCGTCTTTTTTAGAGATAGAAATGATTACATCAATTTTTTGGGCATTTTTGTTAACTAGATAGCGAAGCTGATTCTACTACTTTCGGATGGTTGGAACAGGCTCTCTCTGAAGACGCTTCTATACACGAGAGCAGGCAACAACACGGTCACAATATTGTCACTATGAGAGCCGCATACCATGTTAACTCGGTTGCACTAGGAAAAAAACATGCATAACTTTGCAGATATCACAGTCATATGCAGCAGCCATTGCTTGGAGTCGCTATGAAATTCCCCTGTTCGAATTCAATGTTTCTGTATTCGCAACTCCGTAAAATGGTACGTGTGTTGGCAAAGCTGGTTGAAAAATGAAAAGTAATTGCGCTTAACAGAGTCAACGCAGGCACTTTCGCTTGGCGCTATGCTGAAGTTTTGTGATTGTGGCGTTGATCACAATTGCTTCTTCAGCATAAAGAATTTCATTGGCGAAGCGGCGAAAATATTTGCATTGCGCGCGCAAACATCGAGCCTCTTCAGTGAACGGCTTTATATTTACTTCATGTTAAAGAACCCATCTAGCAAGGCAGAGATCGAAGAAGGCAATGGCTCACGCGTAGCGGCCCTTTCTGAAAGGTGCTTGAATATTTGCGCTGCGTTGTTACACTGCGTTGACAGTTTGTTGAAGTAACTACGCTGCGATTCGTGCTGCTGATTGCATGTATCACATTGAGCTCCGTTCTGCCGTCAAAAGCTGAATACGCACGCTGTTCACTTGGTTGTATAACGTAGCTATAATTGGGCCAGTGTATCTCGAGATAAGACAAAACGTAGTTTTGACTTTAACATGAGTGCATATTCATTTTCGTTCGCCGGTCCGTGTCTTAGGTTTCTATTGTATAAGGTCGTGTGCTTACAAACGGTTGCTCGTTTATGTATGCAGTAGTTTATGTTCTAAGCAGATCAATGCACGCACACTACGCATGATACAAATGCATGGACGTGATATTGTATAAACGCACCAACATACACGCACGTGCAACCTTCGCGCATTCGTTTGTGTACGTGTACACACGAGAAATTAAAAAAAATTTGCGGAGTGAAGGATATTACATCGGCTTAGTTTGGGCACGGGTAGCATGACGACTTGCGCAGAAAAAAAGCATATGCAGAAAATACATTCACACACGTCACGCAACAAATTTTATAAAGCTCTTGCTTACATAAACGAAAGTATACTCCGCGCTTAGAAAAGCCCGCATACTGATAAGAATGCACATACGCTTACGCTCCATGAAGGCGTACTCACTGAGGATAAGTAGGTCGTCGCGAGTGAATTGATTAGAAAAAAACACCGTAGTGTATGTCACCTTATTTTCAATGCATTAGTTTTTCAGGTTCTTTATGTGTGCCGTTTTCAGTCGCGCGTCATCTAAATCCTTCGAGAGATAATAGGATGACACGTTCTCATCTTTCCCCCACGCTCCCACGCATCGCGACACTCTGCAATGGTCTTTGAACATCGCTTTCCATTTTTTGCGGGCTCGCGCGTGCGGCATGACGAAAATAAAGGAACTATGCGGCCGATTCTCAGCGCGCGCAACCTGGCCACACATTTCCTTTCAAAGGTTACCAGGTTAGTGCCTTTCGAGGCGCGGCCACTAGGTGGCGAGCGCTCAGTTGGAGCCACGAATAGCGAAGTGATAGCGGTATATCATAGGAAGATTTTTACAGAAAAAAATACCTTGATACTCATGTCAACCTAAGCGATTCAAGAACGATTGATGTATAAAGCTATGGCTGGCTTATATTTCTCTTTTGTACTGCGGTAATTTTTCTTTCAGCTGAAATAACAACATGGCGGCGAAGTTCCTGGAGACTACTGCCCTGGTGTCAACAGGACAATGATATTTAGAGTAACGTTTCCGAGTTATTTTGAATACGTTCTGAATAGAGTTCGGAAGATAGTGCACTCCTAATTACCTGTCATAATCAAGAATGGTGTCGATGCGGTGTGCTACGGTGATCAGTGTGCAGTGCGAGAAGCTTTCACGAAGAGTCGTTTGCACACGGCGGTCTGTATCTTGGTCCATTTGTGAAGTGGCTTCGTCGAGCACCAAAATCCTTGTACCTCGAAGCAGGGCCCGTGCGAAGGATACGAGTTGCCTCTGGCCAGCACTGAAGGAGGTAAAACTCAAGAATAAATAATAAAAGATGCATAACAACATCACAATGACTATAAGAAATTAACACACAAGCATTCAAGCAAGTTGCAAAAAATAGAGCTTCTGTGATGGCACATACGATCAGTTATAACGTCTACGTCTGTTCGCATCACTGTTGAGCCAATTGCACAACTAAATGAGTCGTAAAATAAAGACTGAGCCTTGGTTTGGTTCCCTCTTTTTAAAGTAAGCTGTGTGGACTCTGAATGTAGTATTTATTTGAGGTACTAATTATAGGTCAATAGGCAGTGGTCCCTGCCTTACGGGTATCTAATCGCTTCGAACATGGAACGCCTGAGCGAATGCGAGGGGCATCGAGAGATATGTCAAACGCCGTATAAAATGTCAAAGTGAGAGCCCTAAATGTCGCATCAACAGCTAAATATAACCTCCAGCGCCAAAGCATTGTAGTGTTGGGACGCGTGATGCAAAAAAAAAAATATTACGCGACGACTGGCAATATCCCGTCAGTCTAACGTCACCGCCAAAATATGAAGACGTTCTTATGAAATCGACGTGATGTAACCCGACAAAGTTCACAAGATTACGTAATAAAGTGATGTTAAAAGGTGCTAGGACGACGAAGGCAATGCAAAACCAGGTCAAGTGCCTCCAATCTTTGATGCAATGGAAGAAACCCCGTAAGGTGGAGTAAGCGTTCGAATGGTAGCGACGCTATATCTCTGAAACGACTAAGAATAAAACAAAGTAGCTTTTGCCTTAGAGTCATGTGAAGTGAATGCATGAAGGACCTGCTTATTTTTCTGTGTTAAAATGAAAGCGTGCTTAAGAGTCTTTAAGCACAATACTCACGCATGAATATTTTGTGACGAGCGTGTTTTGAGATCCCTGACACTTGCCAGCAAGAAATTCTTATTAGCCCACGTGGCTCAAAAACTATTTGAAACAACGGGGAATGCCAAGACCTGCTTCAATAACTGTTTGAACGATAAGCAAGAATACGACTTTGGCCTTGTGTACACAAGACAGGGATAACTTTGTTGACGGGAAAAATGAATATCACAAATTTCACATCCGCATATTGTACGGACGGTTGGACTGTGAGGATGAAGCATTTATACCTCTGTTTATTGTCAACTTAAGACCCTAGATTCATTAATTAGTCCTAAGTTAGTCGTTGAGCCTGTCATAAACCTTAACTGCTGTTGGCCGCCCGTGTATCCCTCCTTCACATATAGTGCACTAGAAACTATAGTGGGGCCTGCATTACTCCTCAGCCACTTACGTGCTTGGAGACTACGCACACATAAGGCGGACAATTATTTTTAGGGGCGAAGCTCCTTAAGGCGTGGGTCTGTTCATTCGTTATATGTATGTATGTATGTATGTATGTATGTATGTATGTATGTATGTATGTATGTATGTATGTATGTATGTATGTATGTATGTATGTATGTATGTATGTATGTATGTATGTATGTATGTACGTACGTACGTACGCAGCCACCGATGGCACATACCCGCGCTAGAACAGGTATGTGCCACAGAGGATGCGAGAGTGGAAGTGGCGCTACTTGGAGTGTTCACTAGATGGACGCACAGATGGATGGTCATACAGACTAGCAGACGAATAGACGGATGGATAGACGCGCGGACGTATGGATGGTTGGACGCACGAACAGACAGACAGACACATAGATAGACGGACTATCGGACAGACGCACGGACATACAAACGGACGCATGGATGGACGCTCGGATGGTCACGCGGGCGGACTGAATCAAGAACGAACGGATGAACGGAAGCACGGACGGGCTGAGGGACGCTTTGCCCTACTCATCATAATTCACTCCGTGGATATGCTCGTGATTTTTTTGCCTATCGCTATACTGCTTTGCTTCAAAAACGCAAATGCAAGCTCTGATTCTGACTTATTGTGCCCACCTACACAGTAAAAATTTCTACACCCAAAAGGGTGTAAAAAGGGTGCTTTTACGAGAAAGCACTCTTTGCAACACCCTTTAACACCTAGAAATGGTCGATTGAAAAAAAAGCACCCATTTGTTTGGGTGCCTGCCTCGATAGCACCCTAAAATATGCTCTAAGGGTGCTTTTGTGCCTGAGAAGGGTGTAGGTGACGATTCATCAGATGGAATATGCAGCATAAGAAGAACACATAATTATAATATTTTCGATTTTACGTCTCAAAAACCTCGATATGACTATGAGGGTCGTCGTAGTGGAAAGCTCTAGAGATTTTGACCATTTGGTGTTCTTTAATGGGCGCTGATATCGCACAGTGCACAGGGGATCTACCTTTTCGCCTCCATCTGAATTCGACTGGCACGGCCGGCATCCAACCCGTGACCTTCAGATTGGCGGCCGAGCAGCGTGGCTACTGCATGAATATGTGGACCTTGCGTTAAATGACCGCCTAGACTTAGAATGTGTGAAGGTGCTCTCCGAATACAGCAGAATGCCAGCAGAAGCAAATCGCGTTTCATCTATAATGGCAATTAACGGCAATCCACGTTACGAAAGCTCACCTTAGCGTTGGTTATAAGCTACATGTTTGCTATGGATTATATACAGGAACATAATGTTCGCCCGAGTATGGGTGTGTGTGCATGAGCCTGCGCATGTGTTCGCGTGTAAGTGTGATTGTGTGTACACCCGTGCATGTGTGTGTGCGCGTGCATGTGCGAGTCCGTGCTTCTGTTAAGCGTGCCTGTGCACATGTGTACGCCCATGCAGGCGTGCGTTTACGGTCGCGTGTGTGTGTTGCCGTATGTGTGTATACGTGTTTGTGTGTGCGCCTGTGAATAAGTATGCGTGGGTATCAGCCCGTGCGCCCTCAAATTTCGTGTGTGTGTGCGGGGGGGGGCACTGCTTCTTAGTGTTTAAGGTCCCACACCTGTTCAGACTGGGAGTCTATATGGGAGATGGCTTAAGAAATGCCGGTGGTCAACGCACTGTACACGGACTATTCAGTACATGGAAAACAGCTGCACATTTTCGTACCTCATCATTGCTTACGAACTTGCTGTGGTAGCTGATTAGGTCCGCTGAGGCGCTTCTACGCTCGAAAACGTGGGTTATGACCAATTCATACGAAAAGCTCTCACTGCACTTATGCACAACCATCGTTTATATTAACAACGTTTAACAAGAACGTGCCCTGCCTTTGCTACAGGTGCTTAGCTTGCTCATTGGGCAACCATATGGAATTATGTGCTGATCATGTGGTCAGCAAAAAGTTTGTTATAACAACCTCGGCACGTTTCGTCGTGCGTGACAAGCCTTCTAAACATCCGCGACTGTGGATTAATTTGTTCCAGCTTCGACTACGCATTCAATGTTTGCGGCACCATACGCGGAATTGCCAGACACAGACAATGCGAAAAGAAATTCCTCTAGAAAAAGGTGTAGCGATGCTCTCCCGCTAATGCCACCGAGGACGAAATAATTATTGTTTCTGGCCATTCCATGGTGCACTTTGTTTTCCGCAAGTTTTGCTTCACTATTTTTTGCCCACTGCAATCACATTCCGTCAAAATACTCAAAGAACCCGAGGCTGGTAAATAACCTGCGTCGCTGTGCGACTGGCCGGAAGGAGAGTTGCCATTTACAAGGAGTCATTCCGCGTCGAATGGCCGTCCGCCTTATGCGCCATAGCGTTTGCCTTTCGGCGCCGTCTTGGCGAGTTTCCCGCTCCTCTCCCCCCCCCGCTCACCCCGGCCAGCGTTGCTCCCACAATGGCGGCGTAGATAAGCGAATAGTTGCGTCACCGAACACCTGCGTCGACAGCTGCGGCCGCCGCCAGTGCCTCCTCTTTCTCTCTCTCAACGTTGCTCTCTCTGTCTCATCGTCTTTCAAATGCGTTGCGTCGGTCTGGGGTCTTGGTCACTGTGCGTGTTCTAGCGAACAGGCACATATTCAATGGTGGTCACACATGACACCGTGTTCGAAGTGACGCTCGGATTAAGGAATATTCATGGAGTGGCAGACACGGACAACGTGGGCCTGTTAACGGTGAGTGTACTGTTTTCGTAGGTAGGAATCATACAGCGCTAGATGGGCGCCTGCAGCAGCTCTGCCGAAGTAGGCTTCCAGCCATTTACAACAGCATGCGTTCGCGGGCCTGTTGCAGATGCCCGATTAAACGTGTGACTTAACGAGTTCACACTGCTATGCGCGATGTTGTGTAAGTGCCTGCATCACTCATACAGTGAGTGATGTGATCACTTAACAAGGGCGGGATTAGTTGCTGATCGCACATTGTCTCTACGCTGCTAAAATGGATTGATAATGTTTCAAGATGTGCTTTGGGCTACATCGTAATAACATTTCTAATAATACTCAAATGTGCAACGTGCTTCTGTAGGTGTAAGCGTAAAAAAAGAAAGAAAAAGAAAAAATTATGTACAGAGGCGCACTGTACGAAATGGCTTTTTTTGCTTAAAGACGGTATAGTTGGAGGTGCTGATATGCCGCGATGCTCCCAGCACGTGCGCCTCGCTCTTTTAAGCGATTTAGGACAAGTGTCACCAGCAACAGGGAAAGATCTAGCAGACTTCCAAAGGCGCGTTGTTGTGGCCATCGCTGTGCGTTGTTTTCCCTCGTTTCTGTTTGCTGTTTTCGTGCTTTGCCTTCATCTGCGATAACGTTCGGCGTTATAACAGAATCGAGAGAGTAAACGTGACTGTGGGAGCTATGTGCGGTAGCTCTAGCATAAGCCATGGCTGCTGCAACGTAGACGGCGTCCGCGCGCGTTGGTGTCGTTCGAGCACTCCTACTTGCTTGTGTTTAACTGAGTATTTAGGCACGGGTTACGTTTGTAAATCCCGTGGTCAATAATCGCTAATAGCGTGCCCCTGATTGCCATCAGAGGATGGGCTTGGTTGTCGAAATATGCCAGACGCTTTTTCTGAAAGCAAGCTTTGAAAAAAATTTTTTAAAGAAATACTTTCATACGTGCTAGGCAGTGCCTATTGCAGGCCCGCAACTCTATAAAAACTGGACGAGCTATCACATCTTTTATCAAATTACAATGAATTAAGATGATTGAAATATAGATGACGAATTTCTGTGCTAGATTAGGTGCACAAAACACATGTTCGCAGCCCTACGTCTAGAAAGCAGGCAAATAGGAAGCACAGCGTCAAATTTGGATTAGATTCCATTGCGTCTTGTGAGGGTAGAAAGAACGAGAAAATTGTTCATTTTTGATGCCCTTATAGAGGCAGTCAGAATTGCACTGATTGGTGACTTGTAACAATTCCTCAGATTGTTAGAGGCGTGATTAAAGTCAGTAAATCTTTTAGTTTTTTTTGCAGACCTCTTCGCTAGTGCCACGCCCAAGATCATTTGTTCTCATGTAAAAGAGAAAGCAGAGATGTCTTCACTGTTTGTACATGAAGAGGTAAGTTTCTTGTGCGTTTTGATTAATGCTACATGTTCTGAACGTTGTACTTTAAGAATTGTTTTTCACACTGGCTCACTACCCTAGAAGGAATTTTATTCTTAGGTGAGTTCAGGCTTTCGTAAGTGCCATTTTTGAGCTGTAGTCTTACACTTCACCTCATTTCGGGAATCGCTGTATGCTGGAAAACTCTTATCTTTATCATACGAAATTATTGGAATGTATGGGTTGTATGCTTCGAGTTCAGTGTAATGTCAATTACACGCCATTTCGAAGGATACACACTACACATTCTTTATATATGGTGCTGCCAGAACAACACGAACATCCTTTTATGAGAAGTCATATTTGCTCTTATTACAAGATGAGAGAATGCCGCTGACGTCCTGCGTAGTCTACCCCGACCCCAGCCTAGAGCAAGCCTACTTCCTGAACCTCCACATGGATAACCGAAAAATCTTCCGTGTCAGTAATGACGAAGAAGGAGTGGCAGCACTGATGAGTTGATTTTTTTTACTTTCAATATTGTCTACGGCTGCAAAGCCTTTAACAACCACCGTGATTGAGCGGCTTTTTCTCGGCGTGAGGTTGGAGTTTATCAAAAAAGTTGTTCAGGCAGTACGACGCTGAAAATTTTAGTGTCACAATGCCTGAACAACTTTTTCTAGTGTGGTCATGGTAGATGAACAAATATTGTTCTTTTTGTAAGTTATTTTGCTTAATTATAGCTGGACCATTCCATGCCAAACGTCCCAGCCACTTTGGCGTACCATTTGAATTGTATTTGAAAAAAAAATGTGCTGACTTACTGCGTTGAAAACAGTGAACTGCTAGAATATTTCAGCGAGAAAAAAAGTTTTGTTCATGTGGCTGGCTTATAGCTTCCTGGCATAATGCCGTCTGTGTGCTGTTTGTGGAAAATTTCGTTTTAAAACTACCGCTTATTTTTTCTAAAGCAAATTCGGTCTACCTGTTAAGTAAATGTGCTTCTGTAAGGTATTTGAAGCTCAATAATAATAGTGCAATTTTTTTCGCCACATTCGCTTCCAAGAATAAAGCAAAAATGATGTTATGTTTGCATTTTTTATTGCAATATTGCACTTTGTATGAATATCTGAGCAGTGAATGCTTACTCCGCAGAAGGTATATTTTGAGGAAAAAATATCTTTATACCTCTCAAGCTGCTGAAATATACGAGAAAATATCCCGAATTTCACAAAATCGCGATTTTCGTCCGTATTGAGATGTAATTTGCTCCATGTTGTGATACAATGAAAACTCATCATTATACCTAAACTGTAAGAAAATGAAACTCTTTCTGTAATAAAAATCTTATCGCGAAAAGGACGGGAAAGATCGCTGTCAACTGAATTTTATTGAAGGTGCTACGAGCATTTTTATACTGAGCACAAGACCAGGGCTCATCTGCAACAACACACGTGTGACCATGACAAAATATATTTAACCGAGAAAAGAATACTCTTTTTCGGAAAAGATAACTGAAGGTGTACTGATGCATTGATCCTTGGCCTTCCTGATAAAGAGTTCTAAAATCTCTCATTTTTCTGCTTGCTTTTTTTTTTCAAAAACCGTGTTATATGAAACCTAGGACTACACTTACATTCTTTACGGTGTCCAGCCATGAGACTACTATAGCCCTTCTTAACATTTAAAGCATGCTGTCTTGCTTGATCATTGAAGCATTGCCCAGTTTGTCCTATGTTTACTTTTCCACGTGTTAGCGGTATCTCATACACATTAGATTGGCATTCAGTAAACCTATTCTAGTGACGAATGGTGCAAGATTGACTATTCCTGTTGCTGTAAGTACATGCACTTTTGAAAGCTTGCAAGGGGAGGAAAACAACAATGTCATATCTGCTGGCTCTTTTCCTAAAATTGTGAGACACCTTATGCACGTAGTACCGTGTGACATGCAAAGGTGATTGTTCATTCTATTTTTCTTTTGGTCCTGTTTCCTTTAACTTTACTTTCTGCAGGAGGGTTTCGCAAACAAGTGTGATGATGCTGTTGGGGTATTGGCTGGTGCTATCAGCCCAGGAGTGCTAAGAATGCTCTGCCTTTTGATAGTGGGCATTCAAAATTAGTAGAAAGAGGAATTGATACCACATGTATTCAGGCCACCCTTCAGAAGGCATGTTAGCACAAGGGTGAGGTCAGGCTTAAAAACCAGATTAAAAGACTAAAAGATGCTGGGTATCCCAACAGAATCATCACACCTGTTTTCGAAACCCTCCTGCAGAAAGTAAAGTTAAGAAGACAGGACCAACGAAAAACAATGACCAAAACCTTTGCATGTTATACCACATCACATGTCTCACAATTAAAAAAATAGTCAGCAGATATATTAGCGTGTTGTTTTCCACCCCTTGCAAGCTTTCAAAAGAGTGTGTACTAAACAGCAACAGGAATAGTCAATCTTGCCCCATTCGTCACGAGAATAGGTTTACTTAATGCCAATTTAACGTTTGTAGAAGTATTTTTTATCAGGTAAATCAATGATCAGTGCATCACTACACGTTCACTTATCCTTTCCGAGAGGGAGTATTCTTTTCACAGTTAAGATTATTTTGTAGTGCTCACACGTGTCGCCGCGCATGACCACGGTTCTTGTACTCCGTATAAAAGCGCTCGTAGCACATTCATTAAATTCAGTTGACAGTCGGTGCTCTTTCCTGTCCTTTCTGTCTCTTCCTAAAGTTAGCCGTGCTGTGACTAGCACACAACCACGATGAACCAACTCTCCCAAATTAAGCTCTTGTTACGTACCACTAGACCGAGTTTTGTATGGAAAAAAGGAGCGGTGCTTTTAAACTGAAATTTTTCACATACAACACCTAGACGGCATTCCAGGAAGTTCAGAAGGCAGCCACGTGACAAAATATTTTTCCTCTCCTAAATATTCCAGAAGTTCACTATTTTCAAAGCAGCACGAGTTTTTCGAATACATTTGAGATGGTTGCCAAAATGGCTGGGACATTTGGCATAAAGTGACCCAGCTGTGTCATTAGCCATAATTATGCATTACCTCTTTTGTTTTTTGTGTGTCCTGACTCAGTTTTGTGTTGTTTTTAGCTTATTGTGTTTCTGATTCATTGTATTGGTTTCTTAAGTATTTGCTAAAGTTATATGTGCGAAAACCCGCATATGTTTTCATGTACATCATTTCTCATAACTAACTGTTATACATCCAGGAATACAAAGCTTAAACCACTGTGATTGTATACATTTGAAAACACTATCCATATGTATTTTTGTGTGCATCACTTCTTGGGAACGATTGTGTACATGAAGGCGTATATAGTGAAATCATGGTGATTGTGTATATTTGAAAGAATCATAAGTGTATATTTGCCTGTATTTCGTTCCTATTAACCAATTGTGTACATGAAGGAGTATTAAACTTGAAACCACTGGGATTGTAGATACTTGAAAGAATTATAGGGATATATTAGCGTGTATTTCATTTGTAGTCTCTATGTACTTGAGGCAGTATACTAAACTGAAACCAGTGTAATTGTATGTTGCGAAGAATTGCCAATAAAGTGAAACTGAAAAAATATAATAAACATTCGAGGTGTTGCATGTGTAGTGTACGTATACGTGAACGTATATCTGGTGAAAAAGTTGTGTGGCAGAAGAAAAGTTTCTTTTATTTGCCTATTAAATAAACGCAATATGCAAGGGCAGCAAGGCTTCATTTTCTGTAACGCGCATTATGCATATACTGTGAAGTATATATATAGATCCAGCACAAGTTCATACACGATTGTACGCGTTTATATTTTTGCCCACACGCAATGAATGGAGCTCGACAGATGGCGCACCATCGATAATCAGGACCACTTTCTTCAAGTAGTGTGTAATCAGTGCATGCCGATATCTATTAGTGCAGTCTAAAAGAATACTGCCACCCCTGCCATGGGCACTCAACACCCTTGTGCACCCTTCTCGCACCCTCTTCAGAGGGTGCTAAAAAGTGATGGACATCGAAGGCACCCTTCCTTAAGGGTGTTTTTGTAACTCCCTACAGTTTTTTTACATGTACACCCTATTCTAAGGGTGCATGGTAAAGCACCCTTTTTGGAAGGTGCTGAATTAACACTCTTAGGGTGTCGTCCACGGGACAAGCTCATTTACACCCTTCTGGGTGTAAAAATTTTTACTGTGTATGCGTTAATGATGATCAGAGTCATGAGTTACCTTGAGTAACGCCTCAACTTAGCGTTGAAGGCGTTGCAGAGATGAAGTAAATACGCGATTACCAGTATAGCTACAAAATATGCGAAGCCTTCTTTCCCGCCCCACTCACCTTAGGTTTTCACCTTTTTCAGCTAATAAAAGGGAGAGACCACCCTGATTGCTTTTCGTGAATTTTTCAAGCCCGACCTTCCGCAAGGCACACCAGAGCTCCGTGTCAGACTTGCTACCTTGCGGATCCAGATTCTCACGCAGGGTGCCGCAGAAGAGCGATGGATCCTGCGGAAAAGAAAAGCAAGTCGTTTGCCATGTCACCTTTATGAAAAGTTTATGACAATGATGCATGTACATGATTACGTTCTACACCTAATGAGGCATGTGGCCAGAAGTGTACGATGAGCTATGTCGATGTCTTGATCTCCGACCATGTTAACCGGATGGCATGAATCGACCTATCTTCCCAAGGGCTCGCACACGCAAAAAAGAAATCAACAAATGCAAAGCCGGGCCAGTGGACCACCTTTTAACTGCTGGGTTGCATTCTCAGCTAAATCAGAACCGGCTCTGAAGTGCCGTCAGTTTTCACTTCAATGACACGTTGCAGCTCATCGGTACATCGCAATCGACATTGATCCTGTCGGTATTGATCCTGGCAAAGCAGAGAGTATCCAAAAGTGGCACGGCGTGGGTCCATGGCCTTCCAGTGACACGGTGTACCAGTGTGGTGTGTCCGTTGTGCAACCCAGTGGCGGAACGGTCGTCTTCAGGTCATGTTTCTTCCTCAAGCTCACCATTTTATTTCTTCAGTGCGCATCTTTCGGGAGCAATGGCTGCGCAACCGGAACACATTGTACACCATCTTACAAGAATAGATAGCACTGTAATATTGTTTTGTTGGTGATAAGGGTTGCGTGGCTTATAGTTGCAAACCATTTGTGATCACAATAATTTCTATGGCACCCCTCGTTCAATGCCTTGGTGCTAAATCACTTTCTATCAGCAGGGAACGACACAATTATTAGCACCAACGCGCGGCTACAAAGATCAGAAAACGTCGACTGTAAGTGCAGCTGGCAGTGTGTCCTCGAAGGTTGTGTAAGAAATAACGCGGACATCGCGCATTTTCGCGGCATGTACTGGGACTCCCATCTTAGATTATCAGTAAAAATGAATTACACTGTACTGTAAGAAAGCGATGTCAAACGCTGTTCAGGAGGCTATATCAGCTCTCTTGAGAATTATAATTGTCTTCTTGCTCAAACGGTAGTTCCAGTGAGCTTTTGTGCTCTTGTCACCTACTCAACGCTTATGGCTGAAGGCTCTTTATAGGGAATGCTTTTTAAACGCCCACAAAACGCCATTTTCATTCGTCCCCTCCTGTGTTCTATGATTTCGCTGTGAGTGGTACCACCAGTTCATTTTTTTACTATCAATGTTCAAAGAAGAGAAAGAAAATAAGAAAGATGGAGAGGTTAACTAGATTACGCCTTGTTTGCTACCCTACATAGAATAAGAGAGTAAAAGAGAGAAATGGAGAAAAGGAGATGGGCGCGTATAAATTGTACACCACGCACACAGTGCAGGCTTTTACAGGCAGTAGCTCAGTGACACTGCCTTCCACTATTGTTGAAGGGCTCGTGTGGCTTTGTGCGCTTATGTGGTGTAAACCCTGAACCAATGATTGTTTCCCAAGTGAAGAAACAATTATCCAGTCGTATCAAAGCACACTAAAAAAGTCCGGTGATCTTGTTAAAAGTCGGGACAGTGACACAATGAAGGAAGGGAAAGATGCAAGAAAAGGCAATGATGCTAACTAGACTTGCGTCTGGTTTGCTACCCAGCACTGAGAGAAAGCACTAAAGGGGGGAAAGAGCTAGAAGAGAGAGATGAAAAATACACATAATCACAAGTATGCTTGAGGAAGTGCACACAGTCTACAGAGTTGTTAAGTTCAGGTACTTCAGCACTTTAGTTGCGAAAGATACTAAAGTTGTGAAAGCACTGTCGAAGCAGACGTCCAAAGTCCTTGAATATCCTGTACTGAAAATGGTCGGCAGTCGAGTTGTTTAAAAACTATCTGGAACGATCATCGCTAGACGTCAAAGCGAGCGCAGCTACACAGGGCATGCTCAATGGTATTTTCAACTCCATAATGAGTCGCATGCGGAGATGTCCACCATACCGATGCGAAACGAGTGCGAATTAGTGAATGTAACACCCAACAAAAGGTGGCATAACAGTGCCGCATCAGAGCGTGAAAGTTGCGAAGGTAGCTGTTCAAGAGGGTTCAAGAGTTCATTAAAGCTATCCGACTGGAAGATCATGTGAAGTGTGAGTCCAACTAATCAAACTCTCTATACCGAACGAATTGATGCTTCGATAATAATAATGGCTGATTGCTGTGATCAGTCTTCTGGATTTTCTTTCTTAAATCGGTCTCTTTTTGGCTAGTCAAAGTAGCCAGTTTTTTAGTCGGAGAGCAAAGTCAGAAGACCACATCGAACAATATGTGTGTAGTGTCGATTTTTAAATGAGCGGTTACGATTTTTTTCCATACAAGTCTAATCAGTCACATCACTAGCATGTTGCAAAGTGTCCCTCCCCCCCCCCCCCCGAAAAAAAGCATGTGCGTCAATTTGTCGGCTCACCTGTGGTATCACTGCTACGGCTGAGCGCAGCCTCTTCAGTGGCACATTGCCGATATCGATACCGTCAATAGTAATAGATCCAGACGTCCGCTGAATTATTCGCAAGAGTGCTAGAACAAGCGTCGACTTTCCAGCCCCTGTTCTGCCCACGACAGCTACCTGGAAATGAGAGACATGTGCATTTGTTCCGAATACCAGCTACATGATGCGAGTGCATGTCAGTAGTTTGATGGCATGCTTAATAGCTAACTATTAGAACTGCCACACTTATACTTGTAACAAATATGGTTGAATTGTGAATACATTCTAAAGCTTTATTGTTTGAGTACAAGTTAAAAGCTCATATTGAAAGGTGCATTCATGTGTTTCAATGCGAAGCAAGCAACAGTACAATCGCTTTAAGTTAGTTGAATGGCACTGATACATTTTTCTGCTCAGAGACGACACTACTGAACTATCATTGCGTGCTTTCATGCTTCAGCATGTTTTTAAAGGCAAGCGTCACCAATAACCACGGGTATACTACACATATCATCCCGGTGAAAAGGACATCGAGGCAGCAAATGTCTTGGTTGTACTAGTTAGCTGTTTTCGGCCGCCAGTGTAGCGAGCTTGCTCGTTTAGTCTGGATTGATGAATTAAATTGTAGAGCCTATGTTTACACGCCTAGCTCTTACGTCTGATTCTACTTATATAGAACGGTACTGACTCAAATTTTGCACTTATCGTTTTTCTGCGTCAAATTATGGGCCAAGCTACTGAGAGTGTAGTGAACGTACCGGTGAGCATGAGTGAGCCCTGAAAAATTATCTGCAATGCGCTTTTAAAAGATGGTTTTGTTCCTTCCTGTACTCTGACGTCACGACTTGGTATGAGCAGCGCCAGCAGGTGGTATGTGCACGCGTATGTTTCACGACGTATCCATGTCCGCGCATCGCTTGTTGGATCGGCTGCTTCGTCTCCTGCGCGCAGCACGTATGGCGACTGTCTCGGCCGGGGGCCACAACATTGGGAGAGCATCACGATTGAGGCGAAGATTTTTTATTTAAAATCAGAGGTCGGTCAGCAACTGCATGTAGAGAGTGTACGCGTCCGGAGTGAAATGCAGCGAACAGACCTAACTCCACTTGGTTAGCGTCCAGTCTCTGTCTCACCCTCTGCAGCGCACGAAGTCTACCCCCGCTTGTCTCAGCGCCGGATCAAACGGGAATCAGTGGAACTTGCACCTATTGTCCACCGTTGACTGGCACGAGACTTCACACAGCAAAATAAAGGCGCCATCACAAGAAGCTTAAAATCAAACAATATGCTTTGCCCTCACCTCGCCCTCGTTATCTAGGGACTAAGGTACTCGGCTGCTAACCCGCAGGTCGCGGGATCAAATCCCGGTTGCGGCTGCTGCATTTTCTATGGAGACGAAAACGCTGAAGGCCCATGTGCTCTGATTTAGGCGCACGTTAAAGAACCACAAGTAGTCAAAATTTTCGTAGTCAAATTTGTAGCTTTTTTTTCGCTGAAACAGAATAGTACTACTAGGTAGTTTTAATTTGAAACGTGGAAAGAAAAAGCAATTTCATTTTCCTTTAAATAATAAGTTTGTATAACGCTTCTTGAGATAAATAAAAAGAAGAAACATGCTTGGGCCATTGTTGAAGAGCCTGCTTGTAATGTAATGCCTGTTTGCATACGCCCACAAGAAACGCTGCAGCATTTTGTTCCTTCGCCTGTCATCTGCACTCTGAGCCCCAAAATTGCGCTCTTGCTCAGTACATGATTCCTCAGGTTTGTCACATGACTTGAGGCACACAGTATTACTGAACTTACGAAGGATGCGAAAAACATCGGATAAGTACTGATTTCAGTGGTATTCGGGCAATTCGCGGTGATCGAGGGGACCACTCTTGCAGCGTGGAAAGGCAAACGAATTATACAGTGCGCAAAAAAGGACCTGTACTGTGCAAGAGTGTGTGGATTTTCGTAAGTACTGAGCTATTGATTGCTTGAATCAATTTCGATTGCTTTCTCACTTCACTCTAGAAAGCCGAAAAAACAAATGGTCTCTCCCGCAGAAACAAGTAGAAATGCATGGCTTCGCAAAATTTATTCCCGTGGAGAGGTTCGCGTGAATGAATGTTTTCTGCACTCCTCAATAAGTGTGCAATGCAGGCTTTTCTGTGCGCCTCGGTGCTACAGTGCTAATGGCGCTGGGATGCTGACCCAAAAGTCGCAGGTTCAATCTTGGCCGAAGCTTTCGCATACTGATGGAGACTAAAGGCCAGTCTACAGCACGATGTCACTACAGGTTAAGGAAGCCGAGGTTGCCCCGCCACGGTGGTCTAGGAGATAAGGTACTCGGCTGCTGACCCGCAGTTCACGGGCTCGAATCCCGGCTGCAGCGGCTGCATTTATGATGGAGGCGGAAACCTTGTAGGCCCGTTGCTCAGATTTGGGTGCACGTTAAGGAACCCCAAGTGGTCGAATTTTCCGAAGCCCTCCACTACGGCGTCTCTCATAATCATATGGTGGTTTTGGGACGTTAAACCCCACATATCAATCAATCAAGGAAACCGAGGTTGCCAAAATTTTATCAAACCTGCGCCGCTATCCGGTGCTCCCTTATCATATCGTAGTTTTCGCTCGTGAAGGCCATGCACAACAACCTAAGTGGTTCAAAATAGGAATGTCTTTTTCCTGAAAAATGGTAATAGGAACTGTATTGCACCGGAACATGCCTTCACCTTCTGCATTATTCTAAATTTTGTCGGCGTGGCTCGCAATGAAACTTCAGACACGTCTCTGGTGATGGTGGATTTTGGCAGCTTGCAATTTCCTGTATTTTGGTTGATAACAAAAAAGACACTGTAAATTTCTAAACATTTCTATTTCGTTTTCAAACAGCTTAATATTCGTTGTTTTAGTTATTGTTTGATATTTATTAACAAATACTGCTTGCCTAGATGAACGAGATGTAGCAGAAGTGCGCACATGAGTTAGTAAATTAAGCAGCAATCATACGATTAAGAGTATCACACAAGGTTATTTGGCCATTCGGCCACGAACTTTTCAGGGTGTTTTTTTCACGCAAGGAACCATATAGGCTGTTCCATATGCCAAAAATGCCTGAAAAACAGAACGCCTAAAACAATCCACAAATGGCTGAAAAGGAACAATACTGAGTGGGTGCAATCGGCACGTGGCACATCTAGTGAAATGACTGAAACAAATCGGAGCCTGAATAAACCTATAGCAGTGTAACACTTATGAAGGAAAGTGACACGGCGTGGACGAGCCAGTGGCTCTTACAACAAAGTGCATGCGTGAGAATAAAGACAAGCTTTGCGATTACATCGGCGAAAATTGAACCATATTGCTTTCCTTTGTATGACCTCAAGCTTATTTATGTTAAGTGCAGTGTAGGGGGACCATACCACTTGGGCGTACTTTATTAAAGGCATGACGAGGATAATGTAAGCGGTTTTTTTACAGTCTTTGGTTGAGGGCTCGTGGGTTCGTTTTAAGTATCTAAATTACCTAAAGGTCCTAGCGCAAATTGTTTCAGTGTGAAGGTTGGGCTTTAGATTTTCAGTAAAGGTAATGCCAAGATATTTCGAAATATTCACAGAATTGAGGTAGTGCTCATTGTAAATTTAACTAAAATCTAGTGGCTATTTTTATTACTAAAGATAACTTGTACAGTATTTTGGTAATTGATACTTCTTTACCATGCAGTGCCCAAGCCACATAAAGGACGCCAATACGTTGCTAAGATCCTCTTGATGCCGTTTGTTGGTTACAGTGACAGCACGTAGTCATTGTTACTCTGATGTTCAGTTCACGTAAGTTTGTTCTTTATCGCAGATTGATACTTTTTAATACGTACAATTCAGGATCATGTCATCTTGTGAAGGATGCGTTTCTTCTTTTCGTTGTTGAAAAACGTCACCCTTATGCGGAAGTTTCAAAAAACGAACCAAACAAACCAACCCGAACAAAAAAAAACACATACATGCTTTACGTCACTGATCTTTCTTTTTGAAAGGATATTCGTTACTTCTGCCTAATGTTTGCTTAAGCTATAAGGCTGTAGACTATTTTACGTAAGACACAGGGGCGCCGCCCTCTTGGGCTGCGGAACGAATGTTTTCTTTGCCTTTGTTCCTCGAGACATGATCTGATCAGATTAAAAAAGCCGAGTTCACCAAATGAACCATTGCCATCCGTATACGTCCACTGTGGCAGTGCTCTTTTTGTTGTTCATTATAAAAAAATGGCAAGGATAACACACCAATATGGGGGACTTAAAACTCGTGTGTGAAACAGTCTGCCTTGAGCGGTAAAATTCAAAGTACCAACCATTCTATCATGACATTATTCCTTGTTGAATATGAGGAAGTATACCTGTGATCTAAATATTTCCCAGTATTGCTATGGAGAAAGTTTGTGCCGTCATAATCATTTTTAGTAAGAATCAGCGTGTACAGTTTTGCACGCTGCTTAGAAAAGTACGTGCAGGTACATCGTTGAAACAGCAGTTCACTGTATTGCTACGATGCTCTGTCGGCTGTGGGTCGGTGTAGCTTTTACTAACTCATTCAGTTACCGCATTGGTACGACTGACTTATCCTATTGTTAAAACTTTTGACCGCGTCTAAGCCACTGCCCCAACTTTCAACAAAATCACTGATCTCTCCAGTGTTATAAAAACGGGTTAATGATTTAGAGTACTTCGTATCCTACTACCGAATGATTAAATTCGTTCTCAGGAGAAGATCTTAGGTGCGTGGTCTTCAATTACATCAGCCCAGAAAGCTACCCGAGCCCTTCTAGAATTCTTGATGACAAGGTCAATGAGCGACTGCCTGTGAAACAATGTGGAATGTGCGTCTCTTTTTCTTTTTCTCTCTCTTGTTGTCTCTTATTCTCCTTTCTCCACACTTAGCATAGCAAACTGGTCGTAGTGTAGTATACTTCCCAATTTTTCTTACATTCTTTCTTCCTATCTGCTTAAACTATAGAGTCGAAAATCCTTACCTTTTCTCCTGTGTACGCCTCGAAGCAGATGTCTTTGAGAACGTCTTCTTGAATGCCAGGTCGATAGGATGCACTAAAATGCTGAAATTTCACGACACCCCGGCTGGGCCAGAGGCCGTCGTATGGTTCCAAAAAAAGGCGAGGATTCAGGATCTTAAGTTCACAAGAAGTGCTTAGGCCACATGATGTGTCCTGGGTGAGAAAAATAGAAATGTGTGTGCAATATCAAACATTCCATCGGAATGCGTAACCAAACATGTTAAAGATTTCATTGCGTGGGCAGGACAGGGTGCAAGACAGTGAGTGGGCTTAAAAAATAAATTACGTAAATTCGCCAGGGTCATGCTTAAGAATGCACATCTTTCATAGAAAAATTGTCTCCTGTTTCGAAGGGATAGATAGAAGCTGCAACTTTCGAGAGCTAAAGCCTGTTCAAGAGGAGCAGACGACTGCCGTTCTGTTTTCCACAAAAACAAAACTCTTGCGATTTAGAGTGAAGAGAACGCATTTGCAGCTATAACGAATGGCGAATCTTCTCATAAGACTTTTTGCTTCCAGCGTTAGCCATTATACTTTCCACTCGCTTCAGTTCTTTTTAAAAACTTGCATAAGTAAAAACAAAACAGAACACCAAACCAAGTCTTAAAAAACCTGTTACGAAGCAATTACATGTTCTTACAATTCTCTTTTGAATGAGGAAAACTAACGTAACTTCATTCAAAGGCAATTACCTAAGGTATGCGTAGCCTTTCTTGCTGTTATTTCTGATTCTCATAAAGGTGTTTCGAGCACGTCCTTCACGGCACGTGTTTGCGCATGCGTATGTTATTCCACGAAACGTGTTTTAATTTCACATTCTACATGCGTCCCATGTCTGCGCCACGTTGCTCCATAAGCGTCCATCCTTGTCTTTTCTTTTACATTTTGGCGGTGGGTGGCTGCAACATTAAGACCAAGTTGCCAAATGTTTTACATTGACATAGCTACAAAAGCAATTGCTGTGCTGGACGAATTCATGTGCTGCATGCTATATGAAATAAACTGCAGCAGAACAGTTATTTTCCGCACTTCATTTAACACTTATTGTATTGATTACTTCTTGGAAAGAGAGGAACGCAGGGACAAGCGCATGAGGTGCTAAACTTGTTCATGAGCGCTGCCATTACCTAGCTTGAAGAAGAAATGAAATAGAGGAAACGCAAGTATCTTAACCATTGAAATACTATGCGTATCCACAATGAGGATAGACACAGGGAAGTCCAAAAGTATGCAGAAACAGAGAGGGAAATAAAGTGAGGGAGGGCGTGGCAGCAAAACCTGTGTTGCACCTTGGTATTCATCGAAATGAAAACGAAGGGGCTCGTAAACACTTGTGAGCACCAAAAAAAAGCTGTGACATACTTTCTTTACCGTCGAAAACCCCACATAAGCAATTCTCGAACACATCAAGATAAAACGTAAAAGTTGTTACTTTCAACAAGTTTATATTTCTGAGGCGCACAGCTTCTGGCACTCACCTCGCTGTGATCAGAGACAGCGTTCACAGCAATTGCTTGTAGAAATAGATTTACGATTTCGCGCATAAATTTAGCTCGAAGTTTCAAGTTCATTCTTGCATGGTCATGTAGATTGCACCCAGTTGTGGCATGTGCACAAATGCTTAGCACAAACGCTATTGTGTATTTGTTTATTCTGCTCAATCATCTATGGCCGATCAGCTTAAGAAAACCTTACGTCCACTTTAGATCCGTAGTTTATTATGCACGCGTACAGCACTTCATGCGCTATAAACCTAACCACGTGGATCGCATGTGTTTGGGTAATAGCCGAACTGCGTCCTGTTACAGCCGATAACAAAAATTTATCCCGAAATAAATACATTTCCTGATAAAATTTTTTCCATGAGAAAAAAACTCAGGAGTTTTGACAGATAACAAAGAGCTGCAGTCGACATTAGAGACCGATGAATAACGTCTTCACGATCGTGAAAAAAGTTGTCTTTTTGCTTTTTAAATAAATTTTTTGCAGTCTATTCTGATAAAGCACAAAACACCACAGCATATTCACGGAGGGAATGATGGTGAGTGGTTCAAGGCATCGGTCAGTCAGTCCGCGCTTCCGTCTGTCTGTTTGTTCTTGCTTCCATCCGTGCGTCCGTCCATGCGTTTGCACGTTAAACGTACAGACAACGGACGGACGCAGCCAGTGGATGAATCATGGTTTGCCGATAAAACCCTCCATAGCTTCACCCCACTCATCATCATCCATTCCGCGGATATGTTGTGAGGTGGTTACTACTTACATGCACACAAACAGGTGAAGACCGACCCACTTCTTAGGAATCTTCGTCCTTAAAAGGTTACAGAACTTCCTTGCTAGCAATTGTAAACTGCTATGCGTTCGCGGTAACCTATTCAATTGAAGAAGCGTGTAGATAACAAATAGTCCACGTGTATTGCGTACTCTACTATGAAAGAGCTGTAATCAGATGTCCCTCGGCAAAGTTCATAAACGCAGTAATGCTAAGACGGCTATTAATTTGGCATTTATGAGATTCATCGTGGTTGACTCGTCATACCTCTTCGACTGGTAGTTCCGTGTATTCCAGGGCTCGTTCTAGTGCCACAAATGATAAGACGCCCCAAAATATGACCAAAGATACACCAGTCATTGCAAATGGTACCTTTAACAAACAAAAATTGCAAGTTAGAAAATGAACACCGTGATTACACACGCGCTATACATAATATTCTACAGCGATGTATGCCACAGGCACTAACAGAGTTACGAAATGCCACCGAGCAAACAAGGGAATGCTCATAACAAAAGAAGTCAAAAGAAGCAGATGGCAATTTCTCACTTCTGAAAATATTTTTAACTCGTAAAAATGTTCCTCAACTACGAGAGAGAGAGTTTAAACAACCACCTAATTGTTTTCTGCAGCGAAAGTATGCGCAACTATGCCCGAAAGCACATAGCGTTTTTAAGAACTGTCTTCAGTATAGCCTTCATTTGGTAGAAGACAACCAATCATAATTAACGTTACTAGTTGATTCCCTCATTGTATGTTTCGACGCAACAGGCATCCGTAGGCGTGCGTACAGGGCTCCGAAGCAGTCTGGTCCCAATGGGAAAGGATTGACTTCTGCTTCTGACACATGGCCCGACCTCGGGCAAGTCAAATCAAAGTCCATGTAGAGTGTACTGGTAGGCTGTCATAGCGGAGCCTCTAACACTAGTGAGTGCATTGGGCTGTTACACGTTGTGATGGGGACACTGTGTCAAACTTTTGAGGAAGGTTACAAACGTGATTGATTGAGCTGTGTTGAATGCCTTGATACTGCTTTTCTTTTCTCAGAATATATGTGGACTCGAATGCCTGACAAAGCTGTCAGTTGTGATTAATTACTGTTAAATAAATTTCAGTCAACAAGCTTTGTTTGTTTTGTCACCTCTCTGTTGATTGATACAGTATATGTACACGAGACCTCGCCGCTGTTTTTTTCGTATGTATTGAAATATCATGAAAAGAAGTAGATCCTAAGTAGTATCACTGCCCACAGTACCGAACCGGCCACGCAATCGTTGTTCTGAAAAGATACTGAAAAAGTCCTGAAGTGTTGTTTTGAGGATGTGCTCAGGTTGTTATGTGTATGGACAAGGGGACAGGATTAGTGCCACTCTAGTACCATAAGAGGACATTCTGAGGGCGTCACGGAGGCATACTTAGGACGTCCTGAGGTTGTGTTTGTGTTGTCTGAAAAAAGTGTCTTCAGCCTCTAGAAAGTTTTGCTGACGACAAAAAGCGGCAGTATCATCACCATGGCGATATCCGTGTTCGAATAAAGAACTCTACCTCATTTCTTGTAATAGATTCTCTGCCTTACGCAAAAACACTTTAGGCTGACGTTTGCCACCTTCTTGGAATCAATTTAAATGCGCAAAATGTGCTTTCTTTTGGGGCCAAAGTGACGGGAAGATTGTTGACGCATTGCGGGAGATCGTGAAAAGTTCAACGAGTTTGAAGTGTTGAAATCATTCTTCGGTCAATATTACTTTTCCAAATTGAGTTTAAATCAAATGCGCCGCTTCATTTCGTTACAGTACAGATTATTTACTATTATACTATCAAATTCGTCCTGTTGCATCTTTTTTTCCTCGTAAATAGATTAATCTTAATTTGTTATCAAGAAAGTAATTCATGATAACTATCTTGTCCTTGGCCAATCTCCCAGCGTGGATGTGCGCCACATCGTCAAGGATATTGACTTGACTTGAAGAGGTCGACTGTGGGCTTCGCCCTGCGGTCAGCGGCTTGTACTTTCCCCAGACGGCCTACCCCGTACTGTCAATAGCTTGCGGAGCAAGCAACACGCGCACCTCTTAAATCCGAATATGCATGATGCAAGATTGTCCGGCATGGCGCTGTATATCTCTTTATTGGCAATGCCGCAGAGAATACATGCAAAACGCTCATCTATATTTTTGATACGACGTCTTTTGAGCTAATGAAACCCGTGTGTTGTGTTTCGTTGACAATAATTTGGGACTTTGAAGATGGTTTAATAGCGTGAGAAAGGTTGTACATATTCTCTAGAGCTGGGCAAAGTGGGCTTACGCTCGTTGTTGGAATACGTACCGCCGAAAAATTGTTAGAAGTGCTCACGCCATCTAACTGAACCTACGCTTGACATTTGTTTAGGAATTATGGACATTGAATCACAAATGACGCAACAACACGCATAGTGCAATACTTTGTGGCCCATTACAATGTTGTTTTACCCTTTGTACGCAGCATGTGCGAATGATGCAGCGTAATATTGTTTTGGCAATGTAATTAGTGTTGCGTGTTGCGCATTCAGAAACAATTCAGCTGCTTGTCTTCGGGAGCCGTGGAGTCAATCCAAACCCCTGGTGACAACGGGACTGTATGAGTTTGAGGGTCAGTATAATGCAAATACTCTACACGAATGTAGACGCTGTATCACAAGGACAAATATAAACCATAAATAGCAACAACCTCATGTTCACTTAGTCGTTATGGGCGTATTATAATTTTACGCAATTTAAACGGCAGCGTGCATGGAATAGGGAACTATGAAACTGTTCATCTTATTTCTGTTGTTTCGAAAGACGTTTGTATGACAGTCTGCGTGACGTTCAAACGTCTACGACATTTGTATAGGAAAACATTTTCAACCTTTGTTGTTTCATATATTCACGGGGTCCATGACTTGCATTTTTACATTACCAAGGTGTAGTAGTGACTATCGCAGTTCTGTAGCGGCAGCGAAATTCCGCACAAACGTCAACACGAACGGCTGATTTTGCAAATTGTAAGCATTGTTCAAATAGCTCAGCGAGCAATTAGGGCCGACGAAGCTACAGCCAACTTTCGCATAATATTAGAATACTCATTTGAGCGCTAAGCATCTGCTATCCAAATACTAAAACACCACATAGCTCAGCATAAAGCTGTCTACGAAAATATCTTTAATACTGACAGACAAGGCTGTTGTCTCTTTCACAAGAAGTATTTGCAGAACGTACCGTCAAGGCCGAAAGAAAAGACAGACCAACCGAAGCTGCAGCTTCCTCGTTGCCTCGGCTTGGCACCACCACAATGACTATAGTGAGAAGAATGACAAGCACACCGAAGATGGTCACAATGAGTCGGGTGAAGGAGTAGGAAAGAATGAAGGTGTTGAAGGCTTCGAAGTAGTCGTTCATGAGTCGCCTGTACCGGTCACAAAACTTTTCCATGACTCGATAGCATCGAATCATTCCAACAGAGTCGAGTGTCTCCGTCAGCTGCTGCAGCACCATCGATAATCTTGTGCTCTCGTACTGCCTGCTGATTGTTGTCGCCCTGATGACGTAGCGCTGCAATCATGCAAATAGAAATACCTTTATATTGTGGTAAAATTGCTGAAAATGACTCCTTGTACAATGGCTACCGCTTGTTTACGCTAATATTATAAGGGTAGGCATTGAAACAAACCTGCGGTTGCAAGGTAGCTTCAAATGTACACATTGTTGCTGATGGCTGTGCAGCTTGCCTAACAATTAGTCATATATCTGGCCACACAAGACTTCCAGAACATACTAAAATGCGTTTATGAATAGTATAATGTTGGCAAACAGCAGCAAGTACTAACCTAGGCACTAACAGTAGCAAATGCAAAGCTCATCAGTATAGACTTTATTTTCTTTACAATTTATTTACCAAGCCGCCGCCATAACATGCAACAACTCGAACGGGTGGTAATATCATTATACCAAATAATATGCCTTAGAACACATACATTAGATGTTAACATCACGCTATCAGCATCCAAAACATTGAGTTGATAGATACGAGTTGCTCGTAACACTGCGTGATGTGTAAAAGTGCTTGCCTACTGTCATCTATAAAAAATTCTTATCGCCTATCTAAAACCTGCGGGAAACAGGGCTAACGAAAACATTCCTGAGGATATTAAAAATAACACTACACATACTGATGCTTAGTATCATACGTCACAATTTTATCCCTCGAAGCCATGTGTAACTCGTTGCCTTGGCTTTTTCATGTGTACACTGTGACCGATTCTCTTGCACAATGTTTAAGGCTTTGCACTTAATCTCACTACTTACCGTATAAGTTCATCTAACATATCTGATTGCACAGGCTGTGTACAAGACACTCACTGAACTTGGCATGATGAAGTATATTTTCCGCTTCCGTTTTCGTCAGAGCAGCTACTCATTGTAATGGGCTTCTCGGTGTACTGCCTCCGACACCTGTCATTAAATATACTTGCCTAACGCGCCCATTCAGTTGAATTGTTATATTGCGTCACAATAACTACAAACCCAAAATTTATCTATTAACCCCACTGGATCATTCAAAGAATCAAAATGGAATGAAATATAGTGGTTTGTGGCTGTGTTTTTTCGAAGGCTCATTGATATGGCCTGCAGAAACGGCAGCCTTATTTGAAAGGGCACTGTGGCATTTTGCTTTTGTTCTGATGCCTTAAAAATGCTGATATTATTTTTATACATTACTTCATTTTATACTTACTTTCTTCTGTTTTCTTCCTTTGTTTAGAAGTATTCATGTCATACTATATTTACTCTGTTCGTCGAGCTTGTTCGCTGTCAAATTGCGTAGCAACTTGTTCATGAATTTCGTCCTTACTCAGCAGGAGCGCGATTTCATCTACTACTGAATCACAAGAAAGATTGACTACAGAAATATGGGAAGACAAACTACGAAGGGCTCGATACTCAGCAGGTATATGTCTCAATAAGATGTAAATGAAGTAAAGTGGACTTACCATAATGAAGATGAGCACAATCTCAACACCACAGGCCAGAATGCAAACTGTGAGCGCCTGCGTTCCAATGACGGCAAGCCGCGCTACCACTGCAAGGAGCGTCTGGTAAAACTGTTTCATTGCGGACGAATGCCCGGCTGTCGTTCATTTCCAGGTCCACCGAAAAACGGTTCATTATTCTACCTCGCGGGGTGGCGTCGAAAAACGACAGTGGGCTGTTGGCGACGTGTCGTATCATCTTGTCGTGAAGGCTGATTGAGAGGTGTCGCGTGCCACGAGCGAACAAAATTCCTGCGACCAGTCGGAAGAGTACTGCGTAGCGTAGGAAGACGTTATGACGCATTGAATCGCAGGTAAAAGTGCAACAACTTGAAACGCAATAATTAAAATGTTGATCATAAAATGTGTGCTTAAAATAACTTCATAAAAAACACCTACTGTTATTAATTCATGACGTAGTATCCGTCATTCTGATAGAACTTTGCAAAATCAACCAGTGTATACAAAATGTTACATGTAATATTGTAAATTTCTGCCTCAGTCATTACATCTGAGTTGACAAATCGCATGGGTAAGTTTATCATATTGTTACGTACAATCCAAATGGTGTACGAATAACTGTTTATTGGGGCGAACTTGTGCCCGAAGAGCAAAGAAAAATGTAGCGGCGTCTCTAACAGGCGATCAGCAAAAAGGGATCATTCTCCGAGAGACCCTCGAGCGGTGCAACACTTCTTTTTCATCAAAATCCCGTGCTGAGCAGGCGCGCGCCGTCACGGCCTTTTCTTGTTTAATCATCAAGCCGCTGATCTCTTGGGGGGCGCACGAACTAGCGCGCGTAGTTTGAATACTGCGTTTGCCTTGCGTCATTATCCCTCCTCCAAAAACGCATCGTCCCGATGCGTAAAAGCAGTGTTGCTGAGATGGTCTGAATGCGTGATTTCCATTGGAGAAATAGGTATTCCTCATAATCGGGTGTGTAGAGTTCGATGTTCATTGCCCGTCATAGTATGGCTTCATTCTGACTACATGCACAATTTCTGTGCTCCTTCGGCATCTTGATGAGCTCACGTGTCCTTCCTGTGACACCTCGTAGTTCAAGGAGCTGACGCGACGAAGGACTCGGTAAGGGCCGAAATAGCGGCGCATGAGCTTTTCGGAAAGGCCAGGCGTCCGCACAGGAGTCCAAATCCAAACTAGGTCACCTGGTGCGTAGTCGACTCCTCTCCGACGAAGGTTGTAACGGTTTGCATCCACGCGTTGTTGTTGTTTTATGTGATGTCGCGCCAACTGCCGTGCTTCTTCGGCTCGCTGAATGAATTCGCTGATGTCAGGCTTGTGCTCTTTGTTGTCGCCTACAGGCAGCATTGCATCTAATGGTGTGGTAACTACTCGACCATAGACTAGCTGGAATGGCGTCACTTTAGTGGTCTCCTGCACAGCAGTATTGTAAGCGAAAGTGGCGTACGGCAGTATCTTGTCCCACGCACGGTGCTCCAAGTCAACGTAAATGGACAACATATCGGTTAGAGTTCTGTTGAGTCGCTCGGTTAGCCCATTCGTTTGGGGGTGGTAAGCCGTTGTTTTCCTATGACTTGTTTGGGTAAGTTTCATAATGGACTGCGTCAGATTGACTGTGAATGCAGTTTCTCGATCCGTGATAACCACCTTTGGGGCACCATGCCGTAGTACACTGTTAGTGACGAAAAATTCAGCTACTTCTATAGCCGTGCCCCTGGTTAGAGAGGCTGTCTCGGCATACCGTGTTAAGTAGTCTGTCGCCACTACTATGCATCGGTTGCCCATTGATGACGTAAGAAATGGACCAAGTAGATCCATTCCTACTTGTTCGAACGGAGACTCAGGTGGTTCGATTGGTTGGAGAAATCCTGCAAGATTTCAATGGAGGCGTTTTGCGTCTCTGGCAATCTCTACATGTCCTTACCTAATGCTGTACAGCATCAAGTAACTTTGGCCAGTAGTACTTCGTGCGGATGCGAGCCAATGTTCTACTCACTCCGAGGTGTCCTGCTGCTGGGTCATCGTGGCAGGCTTCCAAAATTTCGGGTCGCAAGGCCGAAGGAACGACGAGTAGGAATTTCTCCTTGCTGTGCTCGAAGTTTCTCTTGTATAAAACGTTGTTTCTCATGAGGTACGAGGACAATCCCCGGACGAAAACTCGAGGAACAAGCACGGGTTGCCCTTACAGATGCTTGATCAGTTTAAGCAACTCCGCGTCAGATCGCTGATATTCAGTCATTTCTGCGGTGCTGACGGCCCGAAGAAACGGAAAGTCGTCTCCATCTTCCCCAGGTGCAGATTCCATTGGTGCGCGTGACAGGCAATCAGCATCGCTGTGCTTGCGACCCGACTTGTATACGACTGTTATGTCGTATTCTTGCAACCTGAGGCTCCATCTAGCAAGTCGCCCAGAAGGGTCCTTTAGGTCTGCGAGCCAGCACAACGAGTGATGGTCGCTCACTGCTCGAAATGGTCTACCATATAAGTACGGTCGGAATTTCTGTATGGCCCATATTACCGCCAGACATTCTTTTTCCGTCGCCGAATAATTTATTTCAGCTCTCAAAAGAGTGCGACTAGCATATGCGACCATTCTTTCCTCTCCGTTTTGCAGCTGCACAAGGATGGCGCCTAGTCCCCAATTGCTTGCGTACGTGTGAATCTCTGTTTCGGCTTCTTCGTGGAAATGTGCCAGGACGGGGTAGTGTAGGAGTCGCTGTCGCAGCTCATTGAACGCCTCTTCTGGCTCGCTTGTCCAGGTGAAAGGCATGTCTTCTTTCGTCAGTCGGGTTAGTGGCTCCGCAATCTTCGAAAAATCTTTAACGAATCTTCTGTAATAGGCACAAAGTCCTAAGAATCGTCTCACAGCCCTTTTATCTGTCGGTCTAGGAAACTTTTCTACAGCTGCTGTTTTTTCGGGGTCAGGTCGAATGCCTTCAGAGCTAACCACATGACTAAGGAAAAGCAGTTCATGAAAACCAAAATGGCACTTTTGGGGTTTTATCGTCAGCCCTGCTGAACTAATCGCTTCGAGCACAGTCCGTAGTCGTTCCACATGCTGATCGAAGGTGACCGAAAAGATCACGACGTCATCGAGATAAACAAGGCAGGACTGCCATTTTAACCCGGACAGCACAGTATCCATCATCCGCTGAAATGTGGCGGGTGCGGAACACAGGCCAAATGGGAGTACCTTGAACTCGTATAACCCATCTGGGGTCACGAAAGCAGTTTTCTCGTGATCTAGTTCGTCCACCTCTATCTGCCAGTAACCGCTCTTGAGGTCTAGAGAGGAGAAGAATTTCGCTTCTCGTAGTCTGTCAAGGGTGTCATCGATCCTTGGAAGGGGATAGACATCCCGCTTTGTGAAGACGTTCAATTTTCGGTAGTCAACGCAGAAGCGCAAGGTCTGGTTCTTTTTCTTTACCAGTACTACAGGTGAGGCCCATGCGCTGGCCGACGGTTGAATTACGTCGTCCCTGAGCATTTCTTCAACTTGGCCTCTGATGACTTCTCTCTCTTTTGGTGACACTCGGTACGGGTGCTGGCAAATAGGTCTAACAGATTGATCGATTATGATGCGGTGTTTGATGATAGATGTTCTTTGCACTTTCGATGACGAGGAAAAACATGAGGCGTACTCCCGAATAAGGCTCTCGATTTTTTGTTTCTGGTTCGGTGATAGGGCTGCTTCGATGTAGATAGATGCGAGTATGGAATCTATACCGTCAGGGTGCAGCGGTGCAGTCTCGGAAGAATTCAAATCCGTAATCGGAACGTAATCGTGCAAGTGACCAACAACAGTTCCCTTCGCAAGGTGCTGCGCCTCATTTCGGAAATTTGTCAGGAAGACACTCGTACACCCATCACGCAGTCGTACAATACCTCTTGCTGCACAGATCCCTTTCTCGAGTAATAGCCCAGTATTGCTTTCTGCCATTCCTTCATAGTCGTTGTACACATTGCTTTTTACGGTGACAACGATGATGGATCTTGCAGGTACTGTTACATCATCACCTGCAATTTGGAGCGCATCGAATCATTTTTCACTCTGGAATGTCGCGATGGCGTGTTTCGTCGAGAACGAGACGCACGTTTCCTGCAAGTTTATCACTGCGCCATTGGCCTGCAAAAGGTCCATTCCGATAATTACATCTCTTGAACACTCCGACAGAACAATGAAGCTGGCGACGTAGGTGAAGCCGCGTATCCCGACTCTAGAGGTACACATGCCTGCCGGATCGATAAGGTGTCGCCCGGCGGTTCGCACTTGTGGTACTATCCAAGTGGTCAACACTTTTTTCAGCGTTCTGGCAAGTCCCCTGCTCATGACGGAATAGTCTGCGCCTGTGTCTACTAAAGCATTCGTTTCGTAGCCGTCTATAATTACCGACAAATCAGAAGCGACGTTACCATTTCCGCACGTAGTCTCGTGTCCATCATCACATTTTGAAATCGGCACTGCAGGTTGTTTTTTTGCGTCGGCAGCGGCCTTACCTCCCCAGGTCGCCGATTCTAGTTTTCCCGAAGCGGGCTTTCGGGAAGTCGCCTCGGAGAGTTTGAAGATGGGCGCGGACTTGGTGACCGATACCTCAGTGGCGCTGTCGACCGAGACTGATGCTGCTGCGAGGAGTGAGCACCTTGACGTGTTGACAAGTACTCCTCGATTTCAAAAGGTCGCTCCCCATTCCGTGGACAGGCAGCGTTTACGGGAAAACCCCGAAGTCCAGCTCGGCGATATTCACACATCCGGTAAAATGGCCAGCTTCGCCGCAGTGATAACAAAGCAGAATTCAATCAGGAGTGCGCCATATATCAGCTTTTCGGATCGTAGTCTCGGCTGGGGACGGCGTAAATCGAGGTTTCGGCAGATGCGTGCTTGCTGCGGCGAAATAAGGTCCAGGGGCGGCGAAAAGAGGTCCAGGGGCGACGAAATGAGGTACAGGGGTGTTTCTCAGTACCTCGGCGTACGAGACTGCGGGCTGCATCGGAACCGACGCTTCAACAGGTTGGGCTTGTGGCTGCTGCTCACGGACTGCCTGTCTCACCTCCTCCCGAACAACTTCCGCTAATGACGAGACCGTTGAGGGGTTGCCGTTTAGCTTCTGGAGCTCTTCTCGAACCACCGACCGAATGAGCTTTCGTAATACGTCGATGCCATTCCCGAAGACTGCTGACACCGCGTCTACGGATGCGACGTTAACCTCTCGATTGTAGTGCCTCGCTCGGTGTAGCAGAGTCTTTTCAACTGCTGTCGCCTCGGTGCGAAATTCAGTGACGTTCCGCGGGGGACATCGGAGCAAACCAGCAAAAATCTCCTGCTTCACCCCACGCATCAGGTGCCGAAGTTTCTTGTCCTCGCTCATATTTTGATCAGACCGGCGGAATAACCGGCACATGTCTTCCACATACATTGCGACGCTTTCATTGCTGCGCTGGTTTCTTGCTTGCAAGGCAGCTTCAGCTCTTTCCTTGCGGTCTGTACTCGGGTATGTGGCCAGTAGCTCCCGTAGGAAATCATCCCACGATCGAATGGTACCTTCATGGTTTTCAGACCACATTCGTGCGCTGTCCTGCAATGCGAAATAAACTCGGTGGAGCTTCCGTTTTTCGGTCCATCCGTTGCAGTTGGCGACACGCTCAAAACCCTCCAGCCAATCCTCGGCATCCTCATGAGGATCGTCATGAAAAGGGTCCGGCGTCCGTGGCTCATCGACAACGACGTGCGTGGCAGCGACTGGAGACGAAACGGCGTGTGCGGCAGCGGTTGGAGACGACATTTCGGTACTCTCACCGGAGACAGCTGGAGACACTCTGGGGTCTGGTGGCAGGGGAAATTCCGGCGGCTCACCACGTAGACGACGGCTGGAGCGCTGATGAACTGCTGTGAGCTCAGTTGGTTCGACTGCTCGTGGTTCCGGGCTGCTTCCTCGAAGTCTGACTGGGTTTCGGATCATTACCCAGCACCTCCACCAGAATTGTTACGTACAATCCAAATGGTGTACGAATAACTGTTTATTGGGGCGAACTTGTGCCCGAAAAGCAAAGAAAAATGTAGCGGCGCCTCTAACAGGCGATCAGCAAAAAGGGATCAATCTCCGAGACACCCTCGAGCGGTGCACCACTTCTTTTCATCAAAATCCCGTGCTGAGGAGGCGCGCGCCATCACGGCCTTTTCTTGTTTGATCATCAAGCCGCTGATCTCTTGGGGGACGCACGAACTAGTGCGCGTAGTTTGAATACTGCGTTTGCCTTGCGTCAATATCATGCGCCTCGTCAATGGCGTACTGTGGACATTCATGCTGAATTGACATTAGTAGGCCTTGAGATATGAAGTAGGAGTACGAAGGACAGGCAAGGAGGTCAACCAGAAGCACATTTGTTTTCCTACCCTATACTTACGGGACGGAATGAAGCAGCGAATAGCAAGAAAGTTTCCCGGGCACATGTGCGCCATCAAACGCTTACAAGCAATGAAATTACCCGCAGTCAATATTAAAGCAATATCAATATGTTTTGCTGCGAACCTACTGATAAGGAGTAGCCGAGGCAATATGGACTTCAGCTTCTCCACAGAAGAACAGTTGGGACAGAACAGAACAGTATAAATGTCCACGTTGCTTTGTTGGCTTGGAAAGCGTAAAGCCAGGATGTGAGGATCTTCTCTTCGGAGAGCGGTCTGTCGTCTACTTTGTTCAGCGTATTGCGCGGAACGTTGCATCCGCTCAATCACAGAACACACTGGACATGAGATATGAATCTTGCCTGCACTTACCATCTCCAGCGCACGTCAACGCTAGCCACATTATTATGTCTTGGCTGGAATGGCTCGAGTCACTTTTACGTATCTTGAGTACTGCCCATGCTTTGACGCAAAGAAGTTGTCCGGCAGTCATTGCAGCACTAAATGCGAAGCAGAAGAATGCCAGGACCATGCACAGGCCCGAATAATTTATGTACGCCATTAAAATAGTGAAAAGTCCCTGCATAGTTAAAAAAGAAAAAAAAGCATACTGTGATGACGTGCATGACATCCAAACGAATAGCAATAAAGAATGCAGGAAATTTTCATGCTCTAAGCAATTCTAGAGAAAAAATAACTGCCATACCTAGAAAAATTTGGTCTCAAGCAACAAATCTCTGTAGCTTCTACAGATATCAAGTAAAAGACATAAATAACATGAGGAGAACTTGTTTCAATGATTTCACTGCTGCAGATATAATTTCGACAGAAGTTGTTGTTCAATAAGTGAAAGTGGCACGTCCCAAGCCTATGCAGCTGCTCTTGCTTACGACTTGTAGATATCTTGTTACCGTGCTTTATTTATTTATAAAGCCTCTAAAGCAGTTTTTTACTGGGTGTTTTTTTGCAATTACGAAACCTACATTTTTAGGCTGTTTTATTTTGTGGGTGAGAGTAAAAAGCGCGGATGGCTGACGCCAAGCATGTGTGACTTCTGGGCGTACCTTCCGTCTTTCGTCAATCACTTCATTTATGGCTAGTTTCGAAGCACATGTAGTGTATCCATCAAAGACTTAATAAAGAATTTTCCTGCTTTTACCGAAGTATTCTTAAAGGAACGAAGACATTACTTTGTTGGCTGATAGCGCTTCTTCTTTAACAACCGCACTCGACTCCAATGTAATGTCCGTCTTCTTATGCTTCTTTCTGTAGAATAAAAAAAAAACGTAGCATGAATGCTCCCGCTATCTCGGGACAGCAATTCAGGTAGTTATCTCGGAGATAAGATGAAAAGCATTCCTTTAATGCAGCCTGTTGGTGAGTATAAAATGGTAATCTTTCACGCTGCGCTTTGGTGTTTGGCTATAAGTGATCTATTGATTGATATGTGGGGTTTAACGTCCCAAAACTACCTTATGATTATGAGAGACGCCGTAGTGGAGGGTTCCGGCAATTTCGACCACCTGGGGTTCTTTAACATGCACCCAAATCTGACCACACGGGCCTACAACATTTCCGCGTCCATTGTAAATGCAGCCGCAACAGCCGGGGTTTGATCTCGCGACCTGCGGGTCCACAGCCGAGTACCTTAGCCACCTGACCCCCGCGGCGGGCCATTGGCATCAAGTGAATACAGCACGTCATACCTTCACACTATAGATTGAAATATTTGGTTCAGCCGATGTATTTTTTTTGGTATTCAAACTTTTAGTGCCCTCTTGCATCTTGGAAAGACGGAGAATTCCTCGTGGTTTCACTATAGTGGGAAGGCTCATGTCGGTTTTGAGAGCGGCATGACATTCTGATGTCGTCAGTCAATAATTTAAAAGTGATGACAGTTCGAGATAGATGTACTGCCTACATTTATTTTTATATCACCTAATGACATCATTTTCTGGGCTATCATGAAACCTTTGAAGGTACGTATTAAGTTTAATAGCCTGCAATGCAATTATTTCCTGCGTTTTTTACGAATGCAGCTGAGAACGGGGTCGGGTCTCAGATGAGTATACGCTTTATCAAAAGCTTTATTGACACCCTCGAAGCGTTCGCGTTGCATGCTTCAAGTAGCATGAATAAACAATGTAAGTTTACTGCGTCCACGCAGTCAACACCGAAGTCATGTTCCTGTATAGGCGTGAAGAGAAGCAAAAAAAAGTTGTAATACTTGAGAATTTAGAGTATCGCCAATAGGAATAAAAAATCACAGCATATCCATAGAGTGAATGACGATGAGTGGCGCGAAGCGTCCATCAGCCCGTCTGTGCTTTCGTCTGCCTGTTCGTTTTTGCTTCTGTCCGTCCGCGCGACCATCCGTGCGTCCATGCATTCGTCCGACCGTCTGTCCATGCATCCGTCCTCGAGTCCGTTTATGCGTCCGTCCGTCTGTCCGTTCGTTCGTGCGGCCATACGTCCGCGCGTCCGTCCATTTGTCCGTCCACCTTCTAGTATGTCTGTCCATCCGTCCGTTCGTTCGTATAGTGAAAATTCAAAGTACCGCCATCTCGCATCCCTTGTGGCATATACCCACTTCGCGCGTCTATCCATCCATTCATCCGTCCGTCCGTCAGCTAGTCGGTTGGTCCATCCGTTCATGCGTTCGTCCATGTGTCCACCTAGTGAGCACTCCAAGTACCGCCATCTCTCATCTCGCATCCCTTGTGCACATACCGGCTCTAGACCGGGTATGTGCCACTGGTGGCTACCTACACCAACGGAGAATAGATAGACCCACACTGCTAAAAAGCTTCGCTCCTAAAACACAAAACAGTATATTGTTCAATCATCCTGGTGTCAAAACAGTACACAAACGCAGGTTACTACTGGATGACTGAGTAGCTGCGATGTTGCGCAACAAGATATGTGATATACATAGGATAGTACCCACAACGTTAAAATGTTGAGCATAAATTGAGTAGGCTTTTCTTATAACAAATATTCCTATGATAATACAAATTAGTAGTGGAACCCAGCTAGCAGCGAGAATGTTGGGAACATAACTGTTGGGAACATAACCTGGCTTGCAACGCTACAGCAAATGAAAAAAATCATTTTTTGATTCACGGCAATTAAAATATTTGAACAGATTTTTGCTTATGTATTGCTACAACTCTTTGAGCAATCCGAAACAACAATAAGGTTTTGTAAAGTGACCATCGTTTCATTATACCTTCTATCAAGCTGTTGTTATTACTACTCAAGTGTATAATTTTCTTCCACACTTGGAGATCAACTTTCAAATTGTACAATTTGCTTGACATACCTCTTGCATATTGTAAGTGACCCCCATTCGAAATTGTGAGTACTGTAATACAAGAAACATAGCAGAACGTAGTACTCCATACATAATGCTCTTGAAGAATTTTGTTAAAGCTTTCACAGCTTCATTCATGTGTGAAATATTTTTATGCTAACATTTTTATTTTAAGCACGTTTAGAGCGTTGCATGAGACTTTTAGGTAATAGTGAAATACATCCATGCAATGTTAGTTTAAAATTGACGTACGTGCTCCTAATAGGAGTCCTTATTTTCGTGGTGGTGTATGACTTAGAATGGTCAGTGTTTGGAATGCAAAGCAAAAGCAAGATTCGTATGAGCTGTCATTGTGAAATATATTTTTAAAACTATCAGTGAGCATTACAAAAACAAAGCCGCAGGTAATAAAGAAAAAAAACTAAGTACTATTATACCCGAGTGCCCTTCCCGAGAGTTAAGGTCATGAAACATCATCTTTTTCATTTTCGTTATGTTGTGTACAGCGCCAGTCTAGTGTGACAAGCCATTCTTAGCAGAAGCGAAAAGACTCGTCGAAGCAGATGTCAGACGTTAGCCAGGTGTTAAGACGGTATACTTCAAATGGAAAGAAATGCAAATTAACTGCTTTCAGCTACTCGATGATAGCCACCCACGTCATGAGAATGTTCGTGGGTGTGGTTTGCGCAATTTCGTGTTCTTCTCGATTTCACTTAAGTGAAAACAAATAAATTCAAAAAGGAGCAGCTAGTGCCTTTTCTTGTTACTGATATCCTAGGCACCTTCAATGAAACGACTGAGATCCTGTCAATGGTGTTAAGGCACAATATGCATTTCAGTAGTTATTTCAAGCCTGATCTTATAACACGTTTAGCATCCCTAAGTTGCAACTTTTGCCACATCTCCGCAACCGAGAAAGTCTACGCATATGACGAGCAAGGAAATTTGGAAATGTATAATTGACCATCACTACCAGCGACGTTCCAAGGGTTTTCTTGGTGTGCTAAGCATGACTAAAATGTCAAAATGCATTGCTAGTTGGCAAGTACACCTCAGAAGAGTTAGAGGCACTCCAAAACACATACAGAAAAAGAGATAAGGTCAACATGGGCAGCGGAACTTGTGTTGTTCTGTTGTGTTCTTCTTATCTTGCTTTCATGCTTTGACATCTTTAACGTAGCAACACCGCCATCTTCCGTGCACATGACGTGTCAATAGTCCATGCCTTAGGAGCAACGTTTACATTTTATCGTAAGCGTAATATAGGCATGTGGACATAAATTATTTGCTTGCTTAGCTTTTCCAGGTGTGAAGATTACGTCACTGATCATGTGGATAGTTACCTTCGGCAGAATTTGTTTGAAAGGCGTAACGGGGCACTGTCAGCGCCCCGTTACGGTCATCACTGGAAACATTGCGCATGCGCATCACGCCTCCCGCGAAATAATTGTTCCACCGCGTGCATGACGTCATGAATGCACTTGTTCGTCGTCTGCTAGCCGCATTTTTGTTTTCTAAGCCCATGCATTCTGCATTTTAAGACTTCTTTAAACATCTATGCTTGAACAGAACAGGACAAAAAACTTGTATATCTATGGGGGGTGTTTATTCGTTCCCTTCAAAGTTGTTGTGCATGCAACGCCGTATATAAAACATCCAAACATTTTTCGCAGCCGTTCATTCTGTTGCCAGATCGTATTATGGCTAGGGTTCCTGATGATGAACGGCGCTCAATTGTCGATCTTTCCCTGAAAGGTTTTTTTCCAGCAGTATATTGGCGCTTTAGTTAATAGGCCCCTGAAGACTGTGAACAGGATAATTCATGCCTACAAGTATGAAGGTCGCATTCAGGATGCACCCCGCGCGCCCCGCCCTAAAGCTACCACAGACGATGAAGACGACCTCATAGTTGCAGCTGCTGGTCGTAACCCTTTCTTGCCAGCCCCAGCAATACGCGAGGACTTGAATTTGGATGCTTCGGACACCACTGTTCAACGCCGCCTACGTACTGCGGGCCTTTCTCAGTCACGTCGCAGCACAGAAGCCACTACTAACGGCGGCACACAAGGACGCACGACGGCAGTTCGCTAAGTTGCACGAAGCATGGAGATCAGAATAGTGGGGTCACGTCATCTTTTCGGATGAGTCGACGTTTTCGACGCGACAAGATCAAATATTGCGTGTTTGGAGACTACCAGGCACATGGTGAGGCAAACTTCCTGCTTTGAAAAGCAATTGGGTTAGTTAACGTCAAAATGCTACGCAGGAACGACCCAGACAACGTGCAAGGTGTTTCTGCCAGTGAAGATTGAGTGTGAGCGTGTGGGGTGCTGTTTGAAGATATGCTTTAGGGCCCCTGCAACGTATACGTGGACACTTATTGTTGGAACAATACTGCAACAATTTGAACATGGTGCTGTTGCCATATGCGAGCAGTTTATTCCCATACGGTGATTACCTGTTCCAACAGGACCGGTCACCGTTACACAAAGTGTGGGCTGTCAAGGAGTTCCAGGCGGAGCAGCACATGCAGCTACTGGAATGGCCTCCGAAAGGAGCGGACCTGAATGTGATAGAAAACGTGTGGAGCCGTCTGAAAGTTTCCTTGGCAAGGAATCTTCTTTATTCCGCCACTTCGGACCAGTTCTGGGCGCAAGTCAGCAACGAGTGGGAAAGGCTGAAAGCCGATCGGGAATATGTTCGATCACTTTACGACTCGTTACCGTCCAGAATAGCTGCAGTCGTTGCTGTAAGTGGTCCCATGACTCGCTATTAGATTTGCTCATGTTTTTATATTTGTTCTTGTGGTCTGTTTAACTTGAATATCAAACGTGATTTTCTTGAAAAAAGTTTAATAATTATCCCTCTTACACTCACTTTTTTCCTTCACGTGCCAATCTTCAATCCGGATGGACCTTGAAATGCAGAAGGTATCAGCTCAGCGAACAAAAAA